ATCCCTGGAGGTGTTCAAGACCAGGCTGGATGAGGCTTTGAGCAACCTGGCCTAGTGGAGGGTGTCCCTGCCCATGGCAGGGGGGTTGGAACTAGGTGATCTTTTAGGTCTCTTCCAACCCAAACCATTCTGATTCTATGATTCTATAGAAATGGTTAAAAAAATCTCCAAAGAATTGACCAGGACTTTGATTTTCATCTGAGAGAGTGGTAGACCAAGGTATGCTTTTAAAACCCACTCAGTTTTCCTGACACATTGAAATAATTTCAAGTAGTTTTAAAACATAAAATATTTGAAGTTTTGCAACTTAGAAAAATCTGACATACTGATTTTCTTTAAAAAAAATCCCCATGTTACTGTTGACATTCCAGAAAAACTACCAGACACAAAACTTTCCTAAAATAATCACTGATTGAAGTAAAAACACCATTAATAGTTAATTGCATTAATTCTCTTTTCTGTATTCAATCTTCCAGCTGCAAGTTCAACAAACACTTCAGGTTAACTTGATCAGCATCTCTTCAACCATACTAATACTTAAAGAAAATTATTATTTTTTCATTGCAATGGAAAAAAAACAGCTAGCAAAACACTTCTGTTTTTGTTATTTTACAATGACTCAAACAAGCAGAGAGATTTAAGCCAGCAGTACGGAGATTTGTGAATCTGAAGAGCCACAGGCAGGTATTTTTAGTGGAAAGTCAATGACCACAGAATTTACTTCCACCTTGTTGCACTGGCAGGTTTGGCAAGGCAGGAAGCTTCTAGTTGATAATATCTCAGACGTTTGTGTTTCCAAATGTCTCTGCCACTAAGCCCTCCTGACATGAGGATTAGGGCATGAATAAGACAAAAAAACTCTCAATGAAAAATGTCAAATGTGGGTGTAAGTTCCAACAGCACACATAACCCATCTGACTTCCAGAACTGCTGAGCAACCCTAGGACCTCAGTGCCATAACGTTGCACTTCCAAACAACATTTCACATTAAAATTTGATGTAAACTATGTGCTGATGAGCAACTGCCTGTTCTTAAGACTGATGGAGTTTGTGAACATGATCTAGTCCAGCTCAGGTGGAAAGGAAGCACACGTGTGCAGGGGCAACTTGGTACCCTCAAGTACATTGCGAACTACAAACCCAACACCCTCAGCTAGCTTGCCTTTCTGTGCTGCAGGACTGAAAAGGCAGGAGCCTTAGGGACAACTGCTTCCGGGTGTGAAGACATCATTTTAACTGTTGGCTGTAAGTGCGCACATCACTTACCTGTTTTTAAAACACTCGGCTGATCCTCACATAGAATTTTCAGGGCACCCTGGCTTTCCACTGCTCAGCAACCTGATGAGGACACACATCTGCCTCCACAGAAAATTATCTCCTTTAATGCAGACAGAAGTCTAAACATGTAAAACTTGAGCAACTTGTTTCTGAACATTATCTACCTAGATAATTCTAGAGATTTAATTATCCATTAGTCATACAGTATCCTAAATCAGAATCCTCTCTTCAAAACCAGACACACTTGCTTGAAGTCTACTAGCATTTCCTTTCTTAGTCTTGAACCCAGAACAGACTGATGATACATTTTAGAAACAGTAACAGGATCCTAAACATCAAGAATATAGCAGAAACACTCTCTGATAAATTCCATGATTTCTCATTTTAAAATGCTGATTTGGTAGAAACGAAACAATTTTAATGCAGTCATCCTCTTAGAAGTGCTTCCATGTTCGTGATCTTGCCCTACTAAACTTGGTTTTATTGTATCCAATCTACTTGCAAATGATGCTTACTTTTGTAAACAAATTTCTGTCAATCTTTATATAAAAGCATTGTGGCTAACAGCTTGTTAAACTGAATGAGATCACCAGGTTGGCTTCCAATTTCAATGAAAACTAAACCAAAAGAATGAAAATGAAGCATTCCAAAAGTATTTTCATGTTATTTGTGTTTATATATAAATACTTCCTTTAAACAATTGTTAAGAGGTCAAAAATAACTTTAACTGGATTAGCCTGTGAAAACTGATTTCTTATAAAATAAATTACCTTCTACAGACTGGACCATCTAAAAAAAAAATGCAAGAATCAGGAAGAAAATATAAAGACCACTCAAAACAATACCAAACATTCTAGTGCATATTTACTAGATATATTATCTATTAAATAGTTTAATATTTTAGTATTCAAATTACAAGTTTCTAATAAAGTAACAAACTTCAACAGGATTGATTCCATTCTTTGCAGAGACAAGTGCTGCTAGAGTTACAGGGCAATATTCTTACAGTTACATGTAAATAATTATTCAAAACCTAAGGTTGAAACAGGCACTTGTAACAGAAGTGACAATTTCAGCTTTTGTCAGAAGAATCTACCACACACAACACAACTCCTTGTTGCAAACAAGTGTATCAACCAAACAGCTTAAAGAGGCAAAAAGGTGTTTGCAGAGCTTCATCGTGGACCCCATTTGATGTCTTTTACACCATGAAATTGCCTTTTCAAAGCATGGTTGTCTGCCCACTCAGCATTTAGAAATGAGTCGTCATCATCCTCTTCTAGTTTCTGTAAGCAGAACGAGCAGATTAAGAAGGCAGTAACAAATGTAACCCACGGTTAGTGTCTATAACAGCACGGTTCACATGGAGTAAAAAGACACTGTTACCTTAAGTTCCTCCTGCCTTCTGTAGTAGTGCAGCATCATCTGTTTTTGCTCTTCATGACTAATCAGAGGTTCACGCCCTGGAGCTCCTTGTCCTTTCTGAAAGGGAAATAGTAAATTTTATTTATGATGGCATTTGCGATACAAAAGAGAGGCTGCTACACAAAGATAGCAAAATCTTTCTCCAGACAATGGGATTTCTCAAAATTAACAAGGTCCCTCAGGACAGGAAAATAAATCTCAAGAAATGTCTGCTGCGTTCAAGTAAGAAATAATTTCTCATCTCAGCATCTGAATCATGCTGCCAATTCTGTGGACATCAATGGAAGCTGCAAGCAGGACTGAGTATATTTTACTTAAGCTTCTGCTCTAAAAGATATAATAAATCTCTCTGCTTTATTGCCATTCTAGATGGCTCAGGATGGGCCCATCTATCTTCAGCTCCCCTGCTAACACAGACTCAAGATGGCACATGACTTAGTAAAGCAGGGAAGGAAGGCAGTTACAAAACACTATAAATAAAATAAATTTTATTTATTTGTTACTACAAATAATTTTTTTTTCCAGGCAACTGTCCTCATGGAAGAAATGATGCACACAGCAGAAAATAGATGATGACAGCTATTGCCAACAACAGCAAACAGAACAGTCTGAATGGAGATGGTGAATCTTCTCTGGAACAAAAAGGGTCTGAGGTAGTTTAAATTAGCCCTCCAACTCAAGAATGCAGGCATCCCTTGTCAGATAGAAAACTGCTGTACTGCTTTGCCGTCTCTGAAGAAGTCCATCAACTAATTAAACAGTAAGACAGCTTTGCTGGGAGCCTACGCTTCAATGGCTGTTGAGTTGTCACACAATTTTTCAATCACCCTGATAGGAAAGAGAAAGCAATTCTGGTCTTCTGAATGACAAACACATAAATCACTTGACTTATCTTTGAGTAATTCTATTACACGGACCGACAGATAAGATCTGTCATTAATGCTTTCTGTGGCAGAGAAGCTCTCACTGACATGGAAGTGAAATGCAACTTCAGAATAATTCTGAGCTATGGGAAAGTACTCTAAGACACTCGACATTCACAAAAGTGTGATTTTTATATGTAGAGAGAGATACATACACACACGAACAGGGTAAGCATCTTCTGACAAAGCTTGGAAAACGAACCAGAACACCAAACATTCTTCCCTTTAGTATGGCATTTCCACCAGAGATGAACACAACTGCACAGTTAGAACAAAATAATTTTGTTCAAAAAATAATGAACAGTCGCAGTAGCTTGGTGCTAATTCTGATATTGCAAGAACACAACCATTGTGTCAGACACTTAATGACTGGCTTTCACTGAAGCATCAGGTCTATAAACTGAGGAGCAGCAGGAGATCTTTGCATCTTTTTAGCTCATTATGCCAGAGGATGACTCAGACCTGTGTTCACAATTAATACAGAAGGCTTCATCTGCTTCACCACATCTGATGACTGGAAAGTCTCGTTTCTTTAAAAAATGTTCAGCTGGAAGTTTCAGGTGAGCTGCAGCTGACAGTACAACTGGGTGGTGCAGGCCCAGCAGCTTGGTTTTCCTTCTAGCACTCAGTGAGTTCTCGCTGAACACTTTGGGAGAGCCTAAACTCAGGCTCTTCCACAACCTGTGTGCTCTCAAAGAGGAGGCACGTCCACATTTCCAAGGCAACTGAGACAGTTTGAGGACCTGCCATCAAGAAACTCAGAACACCACAGGCTGGAAACTACTGAGTTACAGACACTGTCTTTCAGACACAGAACAGACAGAAACAGGGATGAGAGGCATCCACACCAAATACACACAAAACATTAAAACCATTTTTTAAAGGCCAGAATATAGTCAGAAAAACATTCACAAGTACAATTAGAAAAAATGGGCAGGCTGAACGACTGGGTTTGTTCAGCGCTCTGCACTGAAATGGAACTGAGAACCAGCTGAGGTTTTTTAAACTTTTCAGTTTGTAGTTCATCTATTTTTAAATACCTCTTTGCTGTACTTCAGAAAAGTGCTATGGAGCAAGTAATAGTAACTACAGTATTTAACTGACAGGCAAAGGAACTACTAAAGAAAACCTTAGAATGTAACAAATAGATGTACAGTTTTAAGACACTCAAACTGGAACTAATCTAAATCTATTTTATACACCTATGGACAATTCTCTTCCACAGAGAATGAGGCAACCAAAAATGAATAACTTGTAAATAAATCTCCTAGTGATACTTACTTTCTGTATCTTAACAATGATAGTTGTTTTCTCATTTTTGCCTACATAGTCAGAGAGCAACTTTGTTTCTTTCAACTCCTTTCCTGCCCACCATAATTGTGCTTCTGATTCTTCTATAACTTCAAGTCCAGCCTATGACAAATAAACAAACAAGGTGAAGTGTTGGGGCGGGGGGGTCTTGTTTATTGCTTATTTTCAAAGCCAGAAGAATTATCTGGGAAAATCTTTCTGTAATTCTTAACAGAAAGGCCAATGCAGTTTACCTGATTTTACACTACACTTCTGCTATATTTTTCACCTCATATTAATCTACAGCATTTTCATTCATATTCCATTCAATATTGGTGTAACATAAACACTTTGGGCAATAAATTCTCAATGCTGTCATTAGAAAGAAATGACAAGCTATTTAAAATGTGCCTAAGACTTACCTGAACTCAACTTCATATGTAACATTTGAAATAAACTTAATTCATCTTATCTCTAGTTAAGCTATTGGTGTGCTTTTACACAAACTATCAGACAAAAATATTAAACAAAATTTGTCATCCAAATGAATACAACTTTCACAGATAAAATGGAGAGCAGTATAGCACATATTTAATTCAGGCACTACATATAATCCAAATACATTACTGCATACATGAGTTCCTGACAAGTCTTCTTTATCTTCAAGCTCCATCCTAACTGGATCATGTGGAGGCAATCCCATTGGATACACAATCATCACAGCCCCTCGGAGCTGGTCCAATGCATCTTTCACCATCTCCATATTAACACACACATTGGCCTGAACTTGTTTCTGAAACACAAGCAGGGATCATTGGCAATTTAAAAAAATACGCAGAAAGACTTTGCTTTGCAGTCAGTTCAAAGGTTCAACAGTTGGTGCAAAGTTAACTGGCTGCACAAAGATATTAGGAGTGCAAATTTTCTCTATTGAACATCAACTTCTAAATACATCACTACACTTTTGCCCCCTCCATTTAGCTTGCCGACACTGGGGAGGGGTGGGGGGCAAGAAATCTTCACTAAATTGTGCCAGAGGCATTTAGTAACAAAAGTCTGTGGGATGCAGGCATACAAACAAGTATGCATATAACCACAGAAACTGGATGGGGAGTCTTTTTTTACGAGTACTTGTGATTCATGAACAAGACTCAAAGTAGTAGAATTCAAGTGAGGGCTACAGAAGAAGCCTAAAACTTGAGGAAAAAAAAAAAGAGCACATGTGAGCAGAAGAGTAAAGCTTGGCATATTGCACAGCTTATGCAGAGATCTGTAAGATCAGATACTTGAGATCATTCCAAACTCTACTGCAATGGATAGAGGAAAAACAAGAAGCATCTGGAAGAGAAGAAAAAGTTTTTGCTTATGGATTTAACAGTTACAATATTTTAAGTAAGGTTTATAAAAAAGAGAGAAAGAGAATGTTGCCTCCTTGTGGACATTCTTAAACTAGTTAACTGGAAAGTACAATTGGTTTCTCAATCTCAGGTGATCAATTTATTTTTTTTTTAATACATAGGCATATTTCTTAATTTTCATTATTATAAAGTGATGAACCTAACAAACCACTTCACAAACTATCCTTAACTTAATTCACCAGTAAATGGCAGCAATTTCTGGAATAAGTCAGCATGTAGTGTGGCAGTTTAGCCATTTTTTAATTGTAAATTACAACACGGTATATAGCTGGAAGTTTCACCCAGGAAGACCTCCAAAGTGGAGACCAGATCTGCAGGTATTTTCAACTCAAGAAATAAAACTACATATTATTAATTTCCTCCTTGTTCAGAAATAGAGTTGTTAAGATGCAATCCAACAGAAAAAAAGCCCATCTGGAGAAAATCATTATAATCCAGAAGCTTTAATCAGAAACAACTCTCATTTTGCATACATTTTGCTATGACTCAGAACAGTTTGGCTGAAATCCTGCCTCAATTCAGGAAAGGTTTGCTGCAACTCAGTGCACTGGAAGTACTGCCAGGCGACAGGGCAGCTCCTCTGCTTGCCTCCACGAGGTCTTTGGAAACACTGAGCTGCTCACTCTAAATCACTGAGATATGACACTGTTATCAGCAACAAGACAGCCACAAAGGCCAATTTAAGTGCACAGGCAACACTAAAATTTCAGTAACATTATTTATTTGCGTAACTGGTTTAAAGCTGTTTCAAAGTTCCACACATAGCAATTCCCAGAATTGCAGGGGTGGGGAGAAGAAAATTACTTGCAGATGTTTACAAAAAAGCAATCTGATAAAAAATAATACTTATTTTGTGTTTCAAAGTCATATGAAAGTTGAGACACAATCCAGAGCATCTATGGATTTGGTAAAATGAAGCTGAATAATTGAGACCATAGTCCCAGCAGGGCATACTCTCACGCTTATCTTTAAACACACAAACTCATTGGGACTGAGCACGACTCCAGGTGCTTGTAAAACCAAGGCTTAATCTAAGGGATCACATTTTTCAACTAATTATACATAAAACTCAAAAGACTATGTTAACGAGCAAAAGGTATTTTATTCCAGTAACATCGCAGAATGCAGTTAATTTTTCACCAGAAAACATGACAAGCTGAAGAATGCATCAACAGCAATTTAAGAGCATGTGGACAAAATTAAATGTGATTTAATCATTCAGTGTGGTCTCGGTTGCCAGCATTCACTTGGAGTTTAATATCTGATTCCTTTACTTGTTGAACCAGCTTGCCAAAAGCCATTAAGAAAATCATTAACAGAAATGTCAGTTTTATTTTATTAGACTGTTCACATCGCTTCATGATATTACTCCAAAATTGTCAGCCCTTGCACTGAAAAATGTCTATTTTTTCTTAAGCTGTCCAAATACATAGCACCTATTACAAAAGTCCCACATATCCCAGGCTGCTTCAGGAAACTTACCTTAGAGATTAATGCCTTGGCTTCTTCTATTGTCTTCTTTATAACTTGCTGCATTTTTTCATTTGGAGCTAAAAAATAAGAGACACATATTTAATAGTCTACACTTACTATAAAGAAACCAAGCAAATGACCTGTCCAGATTACTCTCTACTGTAAGCAAATGAAACATTGTTAAACCACAAAGCAAGAGAGACACTACTAAGTTGCAGTCTATTTACCAGTCTGATAGTTCATTGCCATATTTCTTACTAATCTAAGAAACAAAAACAGTACTCCTCCTTGGAGAGCCAAACTTAATTTTCCACAAAGACATCTGAGTGGTATTCATCTGGGACAAAAGTACAGAGTAGAAAGCAACAACCATGATTTCATACTCGCCACAACCAAAACCAAGACTCTCTTTCCCACGCCATAATTACGACTATTGTGGGCTGTGCTGGCAGATGTGCATAAAAGGGGACAACAGCTTGGAGTTTTCTGACTTTTTTCCAAATAAAATTTCAACCTAACAGTGAATAGAGCTTTGAAAATGCAATGTGCATTTCATAATATAGTTACCTATTTTAATTGCTAGAAAAAGCCTCTCCTCAAAAAACAAAAATCCAGTTAAATCATGTTTATTCACAGCTGAACATTTAAATGCATCATTTGGTGGTATTTGGTTTGGCCCACATTTACATGCTGTTCAATATTATAACTTTGTTAATGTCACAAAGCAGTACTCAAAACTAAGAAATAAATGTCCGAGTACATCTACAAGTCAAAGTGGTACTGTCCCTACATTAAAGTTGCTTGCAAATTCTTACTGTAAGGCCCAACACTGCTCACAACCATGCCAAACAAGACAGACTTTGTCCGCATGGCTACATATGAGACACTCAGCTATTTCTGAGAAAACAGGAGGGAAAACATTTAGCTACAATACAAGCTCTTAATCAAGTTCAGCAAGGGTTGAAATTTGATTGGGCAATGTGCTGTGTTAAAAGAATTATTTTCCCCAAAATAAAGACACCTGGAGTAAGCTGTTTGGGTATGCCAAGTTAAGACTAAGTTATTCAAAGACTCCTCCTTAACTGAGCTGTCCTGCAACCAGCATGTAAAGGACTGTTAGGACTGTTGTGGTGTCAGGAGTACAGGAACAGACAGCAAAAAGACAATCGTGGTCTCTTCTGTGCAATCAGCCCTCATGCTCTCGTCTGCAAAGTGGTGCTCAACACACATACCAAGCGCTAAGGCAAAACCACTTGGCTGGAGTTGCAGAAAGAAAAAGTGACAGGAGTGAGTTCAGCTAGTCTGAGTCACAGTGAAGGAGAAAAAAAGGATAAATATTAGAAAAACAACCTGTTAATGCATCTTGGAGCCTCTGGAGAAAAACACTACACGAGTACGCATTTACAAATGGGGGGAATAAATTAAAGTGAAACAGCCAAATTTGCTTCTGGTAATTGTTTACTTATCTTTGGAGTTTACTTCCAAATACTACAGTTGATAATTTAGCTGATCTATTGTGAAAACAGGCTCTTGAAATAGCTACCACTTAACAAATCTACGACTGCCTTTAATATAGTTTATTTATAGGATTATTTTTATAACTAGCAAATAAACACAAGCCGGCTAACACGCTGGCCTGAAATCAAATGTACTTGGTATCTACTCTTTTTTTATTTTAATCCAGGATAGCAAAGTAAAAGCAAAAGGTCCAGTCTTATGTTTCTTTTGCTCCTCATCATATTACAGATTATAGTATAGTGTCTATAGTATGGATTATCTGTGTCTGCGGGGAAAGAAACAAACATTTAAACTTGATTCACCTTGTCCATTTCTTCGCCCAATTTCATCCTTCTTGAAGACACTTCCACCACTTGGTACACACTTTTCTGCCCACTCATCCTTTAACTTCAGTTCTTCAATTTGCTCATCTGTCAGTCCTTGCATATGATAAGGCAAGAAAATACCATGCTCTGCCAGCTCCTCCATCTCTTTAAAGCATTTAAAAAACAAGATTAAAAATTTGTGTGATTGAGAACGTACCATTTACAAAAGCCTTTCATATTATGTATATGCAGGCAAACCCTGACTCCTAGCCTTCAGCTTTTAAAGAGCTAAGTATATGCAACAAATAATAAGGCATATAAATACACATATATAGATATATAGATATATATGTATACATACATGCATACATATATATATAGATACATATTAATACATTTCACACACATATGAAAGAAATTACACAGTGCAGGTATGCAAACTTAGATGATACTTGCTGTCCATAAACTTTTTCTTTTTGGTATTTCCTTAGTCAGCTTTAGCTGGCTACATATTCCTTTTTCTAAGTAGTTTTGGGAAAGCAACTTTTTTCAAAATGGGAAAGCATTTTATTGTTATACAATAATTAATTTCTTTGCAGAGAAAATATGTAACCGGAGTACCTATAGATTTGTCCATACTACGTCCCACCCAAAGGGTCAGATTGGCATCCAACATGAAATAAAAGTCTCTGTAGTAATTTATGCCTAATCAAGAAGCAATGGTTCAGGACAATTCTAGCTGAGACAACAGAAGAGGTGTAAATGCTGGTTACCAATACATGGTCTCACACAGTGAGAACAGACAGCACGTGGATGCAGATTCCTAACCCTGTTACTTAGCCTACAGCCCCCGATCCACAGCCTGCAAGCCACGCTCACTACTTTACCCTAGAACAACTCATCCAGCTGTCAGCCCACTTCATCCTTTCCTTGAAGACCCTCCAGCCTCTTTACCATCACCATAATAATTAAAGCATATCCATCTCACAACAGACACACCAAAAATACTCCAGGTCCCAAGAAATGGCAATTCTGTTCCTGTGGCTTGGGAATACAGGAACCCACGTGAACACATAAAGGCTAAGACTAAATTAGCAAGTACTGTGGAGCAACAGCAGCAGATCTGTAGAAAGAGCAAGTGCTGAAAACACAGTAACCACGGTGTCTGGGGTTTGGAATCTTTTTATTTCAGATTAGCCTCAGTATGGCCTCATACACTACATACACTGTAGCACACGAGGCGTAGACCAACTGCACCCTTCAGGTCAGTCTCCTCTGAAGGGAACCTCAGCTCATGCATTCCCAGGCTGATCCACAATGCAAACCAAAGTGGGTCAATGGGGACAAACAATAAATATTTTTCAAAATCTGCCTCCTGAATTGAACTAAAGCACTGAGACACACCTAGTGACTCTCCATCCCGTGGCAAGTGGATGCCTTACACCAAGCACGCAGTAGGCAACAGAGAATTTCATTCTGGTCACAAAGGATTTAGGCAGTCACTATGGGACAGGATGTGCTACAGTTAAGTTGGGCAACAGATTAATTTTCAGTTCTGTCCAGTGGGAAACTCAGAGCTGATGGTCTCAAAAAAAAAAAAAGGACTACGAAAATACCAGAAGGCAGGAATTTACACATGGTTTGGCAGTTTTGGTGGGCTTTCACTGTTCAGTTCAGGAGAGGACAGCTTGTCTGCTGCTAAACTGGGATTTGAGAGGTATTTCTTAACTTCTGCCAGTGTAGGCCTCCTGCAAAGCCTCATCCAAGTCACCTCCCAGTGCCGCCCTTCAGCTCCCAGTCTGCGTGAGCCAGCGGGGCACCACCACCCAGGAGCCTG